GGGGGGGGGGGGGGGGGGGGGGGGGGGAAGGCGGAGGAGAAGGAGGAGGAGGAGTGCGGATACGGCCGGTCACGAATGGACGGCCACTCAAGAGGGATGCTCTTCTCTGAGAAGCTGGAGTGCGGGGAGGGAGCAACCAGCGGCCGGAGGATGACACCCGGGAAGTCACGAAGGCATTCCCGTCCGCCCATCGGCCGTCGGTGACGGAGCCCAAGAAAGCGGAGGGGACATTGCCCACGCAACAACGATGGAGGACTCGCACCGGGCGCCGCCGGCCGACACATGGTGTGCCGGGAGGGGCCCGAACAGGGCCCGGCGCTCTGTCATGTGATTGTCCGAAGACATGATCCCATGACTTAAAGTCACGAGTCCCTCGATCCCTCCCTACGCTTTCCACTAACCACCACTTGTCAGATCTCTCTTCTCGGGGCCTGGTTGGTCCTCGCCCTCCCCCACCCGCGTGGCCGGTGCGAGGAGAAAGAAGTAGAGAGCCAGAAAGGTGCCACTTTTTATTTCTTTGTCTCCCCCCTCCCCAAAGGTTGGGGGCTGTTGCTTCTTTTCTATTGAATGAAGGCGCCTGGGCCTTCCCCTCTCCCTTTGCATCTCCCGCAAGGCTTGGTATCCTCCCTGTTCCTCGGCCAGGAAGCTGGTGGTTTTTCACTCGGCCACCCATAGCCGCAGCACTGCTGCCACTCTCCGGGGAGGTGCGGCTTTGTCCCGGTTCCGAGGGCCGTAAACCCGAGGGAGACACGGCCCCACCAACGAGCGCGAACACGTCGAAACACTCCAGTTCTGGCATTTGATTCTCGGGGACCGGTGAGGGGCTTCCCTGAACCACCCGGGGTGTTCCGTGCCGCGAGGGTCACCACTCGGACATGAATACAACCACAAAAGAAAGGAAAGCTGGTGATCTGCGTCTTTATAGGGAGTACATCAGGGACTGAGTCACACTGCTCCAGGGGGAGCGACGTCCAGAGGCAGGGCAACGGGAAGTCAAGGCCTCCGTAAAGAGAATGACTATCCTTCAAGGAGCTGGGACCTTGGAGGGGAGACGAGATAAGGGGGCCCTTATATAGGGGGGCCCAGAAAAGAGGAAATACATGGGAAAGAGGGGGAAACGAGAGAGAATGGGTTGCATCGCTGAGGGGCGACGCTAACACCCACCCACGGGGAAAGGGAGGTAGAAAATGGATCTCTTAGCCATTTGACTAAGTAGAGGGCGTGGCGAAATTTGGCGGGGAGGCGACAGTAGGGTTAACATAGCAGGGCGAGGTGACGCAGGTGCTGAGGAGGTGAGCGGAGCAAAGTTCCGACGCAGCGTCGGAGGTGACATTATGGTTACAAGTTACGAAGCACAAAAGCTCCACACTGGACAGGCACCTCACCGGGGGCGTAGCTCAAATGGTAGAGCGGCCGCTTAGCATGCGGCAGGCAGGGGGATCGATACCCTCCGCCTCCATGGATTCCCTTTTGGCCGGGGGGGCTGAGGATGCCAGCGGATGCGTCTTCTGCAGGACAGTGTTTGTGTGTGTGCGCGCAGGGCGATCTGGGCTGTGTGTGAGCCCGCCTGTACGTGTCCACCGAGAACGGCCTATTGCCACGTCCGTCAGGGCGGGGTGGAGAGG